ATGTGTTCACACTTGGCTGACTTACACTGGGAAAAAATGTGCTGTCCTTGTACAAAGCCAAGGGCTCGCGTTCTCTGGCCTTTGTCCTCAAACCTTCTCTGTGACCGGCATCATAAACTCCATTAATTTCATAATGAACCACTTCTTCCTCACGCTGTGACTGGCCAGGTAACCTTGGACCTATCTCTGGTGACTTCTCTAAGCTTCAGATCCTTGCCAATAAAATCTGAGTAATGCCTTCTCTGCCTGAAAGCTTGAAGGGAGACCTTTCCCATTTTAGATCCAAGCTTCCTAACCATGTGTTCAAGACCTTACACAGTCTGGTCCCAATGTCAATATTCCAGACAGCCCTTCCCTCTCCTCCCTCCTCCTCCTGCCCCGTGTATGCAGCCCCGACTCCTGACCCGCAAACCCTCCCTCCTGTATGTATGCATCTCTGTACCTCAGTTCTAGCCTCTCTTTCTGAAAGAACATCTTTCCACCAGAAGTTCAGACCCAATTCCCAGGGTACCTCCTCCATTAAGCCTTTCCTGATTTTCTCCAGCAATAATTTTTTTCCCCTTCTATTAACTCCTTCTTATGAAACATAAGAAAAACACTCCTTATGGTATTAGGAATTATTTATATACACCGGCGTTCTTCTCTATCAGTTGTAGACAAAAACCTCCATTTACTCATATTTGTATCTCCCTCTCATCTCCACCCCAAAGCCCAGATGGACTCTCAATTTTTAATAGATGTTCATTAAATATTTCTCAGGTTAATAAATAAAGCATATAAATTTACTTCACTATGCTGATTTTTCTTTATATAAAAGTGACTATAGGCCAGTGTGGTGGTTCATGCCTATAATCCCAATACTTTGGGAATCTGAGGCAGGAGAATCACTTGAGGCCAGGGACTGAAATTTAGCTGAGCATGAAGGTACATGCCCACAGTCCCAGCTACTCGGGAGGCTGAGGCAGAAGGACTGCCTGAGCCCAGGAGGGCAAGGCTGCAGTGAGCTATGATTGCACCACTGCACTCCAGCCTGAGTGACAGAGCAAGACTCTGTTTCTAAAAATAAAATAAAATAAATTAGTATAAGTAAGAGTGCTCATGTTGGCTAACTAGCTTGAGACCATCTCAAGAAAAAGGAAAGCATGCCTCTTTTATAAGATGTCACATTGTTACCCAGTAAATAACATGGCTGCCAGGAATATATTTTTGTTCTTAGAAACCAAATACCTTTTTGTTTTTTTTAAGTTCCAGGATACAAGTACAGGGTGTGCAGGTTTGTTACATCGGTAAATGTGTGCCACGGTGTTTTGTGGCACCTATCAACCCATCACCTAGCTATTAAGCCCTGCACGCATTAGCTATTTTTCCTGATGCTCTCCCTTCCCCGCAACACCCTCCAGATAGGCCCCAGTGTGTGCCATTCTCCTTGTGTCCATGTGTTCTCACTGTTCAGCTCCCACTTAGAAGTGAGAACGTACAGAGAGAAACCAAATACCTTTGATTGTAAAAAGTCACACGTGACTTTTCGAGTTTTACAAATCAGTATCTTCCCACATATGAAATGAAATATCCAAAAAAAGGAGTGGGGTCAGAAGACCTGTGTTTGTAGCCTCAGGCTCACAGTACACATTCTCATTTCAATCTAGTTCTTCCTGCACAATGGGTAGCCCAAAAGGCCCTCTCTATTCTATTCCCATTTACTCCCAAATTTTTGGTTACCTGACACATCAAGAAACTCACCAGTCTCTAGTCACATCAGACATCTTCTGAGCTTCATGCCTTTGCTCAGGTAGGACACTCTCTCTTTCCTCCTTTCTGCTTTCCTTCAACGACCTCTCTTCTGAGTTCATTTCTGAGTGTATTATTTGTTCCTATGTCTGTGCTTACATATGGCTTAATTTAGTACTTGAATATCATGTTTGCTTAAGTATCTTTATGTGGTTCTCACCCCCTAAAGGATGATGATTTGCCTATTTTTTTCCTCCAGAAATTCGCATCATGTATGACTCATAATTGTTCCATTTGAACCTGTCCTCTGCTTCCGTGGCTCAGAATCACCATCTTAAAGGGTCTGTTCAGCACAAGACTAAGAATTTCCCAAACCCCCTGTCATCTAGGTAGGGCCATCTGGGCAGCTCTTCCACAGAATACGAACAGAAGAGATGCTTGCCTCTTTGGGGCCAAGTTGTTTAAGAATGGCTGTGCCTTTTCCACCCTCTGTTTCCCTCTGCACCAAGGGGAAGTAGAGGATTGCAAGTCCTAGAAAGGCCACAAGGCGGAAGAAATCCAAGACCTTCAGTTACTGCATGGACAAAAGCCTCCTTCAGCAGGAGACACACTCATTAGACAGTTATATGAGCAAGGAATAAACTTCTACTGTGTTGTCACTGAAAGTTGGGGCTTTGTTATAGAAGCTTTGTTCTAACTATAAAGATTCTCAAAACTGTGTATTTTATTTAATTAAATAATCCTGTGTAACCAACAATGCTTGTCCCTGTCCCTCTGAGGCCTAAATCACAAAGTGCCAATAAAGGAGAAAAAAGGAAAGAGGAGGAGGAGGAAAACGAAGAAGGAGAGAGGAGAGGCAAAGAAAGGGAGGGAGGGAGGGAGGGAGAGAAAGCAGGGATAGAAGAAGGGAGAGAAGGAGGGAAGGAGGGAGGAAAGGAGGGTGGGAAAGAAGATTTAAGCAATGAACAATTGTAGTCAAACTATCACCTCATATGTAAGTTGCCTATATCCTAACTAACAGTTGAGCACATTATAACCAAATTATTCATTAACTTTGCTTCTATAGCACTTTCGGAGGCCACAGTGGGTGGATCACTTGAGGTCCAGAGTTATAGACCAGCCTGGCCAACATGGCAAAACCCCATATCTAGTAAAAAAAAAAAAAAATACAAAAAATTAGCTGAGCATGGCGGTGCACACCTATAGTCCCAGCTACTTGGGAGGCTCAGGCACAAGAATCACTTGAGCCCAGGAGGCAAATGTAGCAGTGAGCCGAGATTAAGCCACTGCACTCCAGCCTGGGCAACAAAGCAAGGCACTGTCTCAAAAAAGAAACAAACCAAAAAAAAGGTACTGCACCCACAGTGCCTAAAACATTCCCTGAGACATAGCAGACATTCTGAAAATACGTGCCAACTTAATTAGTAAATAAAATTATGAATGAATACCATACCTTTTCTTTCTTACTAAATGACCTGAAGAAATCAAACCTCACTAAACTAAGAGATGATGGTATTTAGTCAAGCGTAAAATAATCTGTCGCCTTGAAAGTTGAAAGAAACAGTATCTATGACTATTACAACATGCATCTGAATGCCTATGATGTGGCAGATGTCCTATGAGATCCATGTTCTCTGGCAGCTTTCTTCTAAAATAATAGCTTTTTGCCTGTTAAAAAGCTGATATTTAATGGCTGGCTCTGTACCAGATAAAAGGCAGCATTTTCTCCCTTCTTATCCTAATCTCCAAAACAACTTACTTATAAGAATTTTTAGAAAAACCTCCAGAAGATAATTTTTGGGTAGGGAGAGCAGGGAAAAGGAGAAATTTCTACAACAACAAAATAATGCAAACTTAACATCAAGTACAAGAAGAGCCCACATGTGGCATTGAGAACAATTTACTTTACAACCTATGGTGCAATGGTCCAATTCTTGCCGTATATATGTAATGCTAAATTTCGCCCAGTCCTGCTAATCAGACAGCAGCTCACTGTGTCTGTTTGTCTCTAAGCCAATACCCGGTTGTACAGTAAATCTGCATTTCCAGAGATGATCTAAAATAGAAACCCATGCTGGCTAAATTTGTTTTGGGACATACCAGGCAACAGCTAGAAATTTTTAAATGACCAACTTGTATTCCACTGAGGCACTGAATGAATTGATTAGGGAAAAGCTAAAAATTGAATAGTATTTTTTGGAGTAGGCTAAGGTTAGTGTTGCCAATGAAAATATGTAACTACCAAGAGAATGGCTATCAATCATAGCTGATTTTCAAATAGAAATGTGGGGGGAAAATGAGATTAAATTCAAAAGGGGAATGTCTTGTTTTTCCCCTCTATATGTCCCTTTCCAACTAGGTCAATCATATAATTAGGTCATCAGAAATACACTCAAACTCCCACCACTAAAATTATGATAGGCAATAACAAAGTTTTCCACCAGCCAGAGGTTATTTCTCAGTTCAACAACCTTTGGTCAGAAGATCAGATCAGCACATGGACTCTGCAAAGGGCTATTGCTCCGTGGACCAATATCATATGATTGATTGGTTTATAATACGGAGTGTGTGGTGCTGCCTTTGAGAAGAGTGCTCTCTGGAGAGACAAGCCCAGCTATTGTTTGGCTGCTCTCATGTTAGCGAGTGCCCTGCGGTAACCCTCGTGCTCTGAAATACTCATATTGGTTATTTCAAAGTTGGGTGCAGAATTGTGCTTTCCCGTGTCTGTCACTAATGACTTGCAGCTGTTGCTAATCTGTGCCTCTGATTTCCTTTGATTACTATGTGTATTGATGCCTGTGGTAAATAGGCATCTGCCAGGTGCCAGCACAATCAGGGGAAAAATATAAAAAGTTCCCTGTTTCAAATTCAATGTGACATTGTGCAAGTTGAGAGGCAGCCATTTAACTATTCAGAGGAAACAGCTTCCTGGGGCACCTCCGGCCTCCTGGCCAGGGACATTCCCCCCATTCTCCCCCACTGCACCCCCTCCCCAGATGAGGCTGACTTTCTTTAGGATTGTTTGCAGCCGCGACAAGAGGGTTTCCACACCACATGACATCAGCAGAGGGAAGAATATCTCAGAGGGTTGGCTATGACCCGAGTTTCTAGAGAACAGGTGTCTCACCTCTTCACTGATTTAAGCTTTGAAGGACCTCATCTGCCCCCAGCAAGTTCCCAGAAGCTTCTCCACAAGAGAACCTTGGTTTTTGGTTTGGGGGGTTTCAGAGAACACGTCTTACTCAGGAAGGGCCCTGGTTAGTATCTATCACCTTCTCCTTCAGCAGAAGCAGAGGATAATCTCGGAGAAAACAGAGCAAGAAGGAGGCTTGCTTAGGAAAGATGCAAATGTAGCTTCCCTGGAACATCACGTTGTGTTGTTCTTAGAAGAGCTGTAGACAGAGGAGAATTTCTCCGCCTCTCACTCCAAGGCAGAAGCAGCGAGGAAGGGGTGAGCCTGCAGCGCCCCCGGGATGGGTTGGTTTTCCCCGGTGGCTTCTTTGGCCTTCCTCGACGGCAGTGGTGAACGTGTGTTCCGGGACAGCAGCAGATGCTGCTCTTCCCACGCCACAGAGCCCACAGGGAGCGGGGGTTACTGTGCTTGTCTCTGGCATCTCCTCCTTCCATCGGTACGTCATGAAGACAATGACACGTTACCCACACTTTGACAGGTTCACTGTTGTTTCCAGTTACGAAAAGAAAAATCTTCCATCATTTTGATGCACATCCACCATTTTATCATTGTTAGGAAACGGAGCAGGAGACAGGTCTACTTTGAAATTAGTTTCTCAAGCTGCTAAGTTAGGTCCCCAAGGTAGGGACCAAAGAATAAAGGCTAAGTGAGACCAAGAATATTGGAGAAAAGGTTATGAGATCTCAAGGTAGGGTCACATTTACTAGGTCATATGAACCTTACAAAAATCTGAAAGGAAAATGAGAATCTGGTGGAATTTTTAATCCCCAGTTGAGAGATTTTAAAACTCAGAGTATGGCTAGGACATGGATTTACACGCAGAGCTCAAGAGTGTTTGGTCATTTTTCATCTAAGTGGAACAAAGTGTTCACTATGGACATTTAAGGCCTAGGGCTTCAAATATCAGTCAGTAAGACAGTGTGTGTGCCCCCCAAAAAAGATTAAAGAAATTACAACATGGATGAATGAGGACCACATGTCTAAGTCAAAAGAAATAATTATAAAACGTTAGTAAATGCTCCTTGGCCTAAACAGATACATCACAGTGGTCACGTGGACACTGATTGTAGGATTCAGAGAGAAAACCTCTGAGTCTAGTACAGTAATGGTAAAGGGATACAGGATAATAAATTCACAAAGTTGTGAGACAATATTCCTGGAAAGAGATATCATTTCTGGGTAATTTGACAACAAATAGTTCAAAAATATTTTACTACACCCATTTTATTTTAAGACAATGGTAAAATTAATTCCCAGATCCAAACTAGAAGCAAGCCAACATCAAACAGGACCTTGGTACAAGTTGCGTGTCCCTAATTTGAAAATCCAAAATCCAAGCCAGGCATGGTGCTCACATCTGTAATCCTAGCACTTTGAAAAGCCAACATGGGTAGATCACTTGAGGTCAGGAGTTCAAGACCAGCCTGGCCAACATGGTGAAACCCCATCTCTACTAAAAATACAAAATTTAGCCAAGGATAACACACCTTGGGATTACACACCAGTAATCCCAGCTACTTGGGAGGCTGAGACAGGAGAATGGCTTGAACCGGAGAAACAGAGGTTGTAGTGACCTGAGACCGTGCCACTGCACCCCAGCCTGGGTGACAGAGCAAGACTCCATCTCAAAAAAACAAAAATGCAAAATCCAAAATTCTCCAAACTCTGAAGCTTTTTGAATGCCAACATTGATGCCACAGGGACTGATTCCACACGTCACCTCATGTGACAGGTTACAGTCAAAATGCAGTGAAAACTTTGTTTCATGCACAAAATTATTTAAAATGTTCTACAAAATTACTGTCAGGCTATGTGTATAAGGTATACAGGAAAGATTTTGTATTTAGACATGGATTCCTTCCCCAAGCTGTCACATTATACATATGCAAGTATTCAGACTCTGAAAAAACAGAAGTCTGAAATACTTCTGGTCCCAAGTATTTTGGATAAGGGATACTCAATCTGCAGATTTAAAAGGGAGAAGACTCTACCAGATGCAGAAAATGCTGCCAAAAAAGATTGGTTAAAGGTAAAGAGATCAAAGAGATTAGAATTTGCTACTGCCCTCTTAATCAAAGGTTCACAAAGTATGCAAAAGCATTTCTTTTCTCTTTAACAGTCAGAAAAGAGAGAAAAAGGGCCAGGCATGTGGCTTATGCCTGTATTACCAGCACTTTGGGAGGCCGAGGCAGGTGGATCACGAGGTCAGATTGGGACCATCCTGATCAACATGGTAAAACCCCATCTCTACTACAATACACAAAATTAGCCAGGTGTGGTGGTGCACACCTGTAGTCCCAGCTACTCGAGAGGCTGAGACGGGAATCACTTGAACCTGGGAGGCGCAGGTTGCAGTGAGCCCAGATCGCGCCTCTGTATTCCAGCCTGGCAACAAAGCAAGTCTCAGCCTCAAAAAAAAAAAAAAAAAAAAAGAAAAGAGATAGAAGGAGATAAGCTTTAGAGCAGATAATCCAGAAAAATAGTAAAAAAAAGGCTAGCTAGGGACATGCATTACTGTATTAATACCAATCCACACAACCACCTCCCTACCACCACAACCCCCAAAGGAATTCAGGGAATGACATCAGGAACACATACTCTCAGGCCCCACAAACAAACTGCAGGGCAGAACACTCTGTGGTTTCCCAGGTCCTTGCTTTAACCTCTTATAATAGTAATCTTAGTAGTTGGCTTTAAATCGATATCAACACATCTGAACACAGTATCTTGCGGAAAGACTTTTGAAAGGAGACATCTTGCTGGAGATCTGTCAAGGATCTGGACCCAGCTCAGGCAATGAGGTTGAGGAGAATCCTGCACTGGCAGCAAGAGCTCATTGCAGTCAAATGAAATAACCAACTGGGTCTTTTGTCCAGCAACCTCCCTGGCCCATCCTCAACAAAACTCTTGCCCAGTGACTTAGAAGAGCCAGAGAAACTGCAAAAGAAATCCACTAACTGTGTGCTCAGCGTTGTTACCATGGGCTGCATTTTCATCACGGGTGAAGGCATGAGCACATCTAAGGCTCAGTGCTACCAGTTTCAGGTCACTGCAATGGCAATTGCCTCTTTTCCAAACAACCACAGTTTTGCACCTAGCTTCCCAAAATGTGATTTAAGGGGAGTTTTCATGATGAGCTTTTCTGCAAATTAAAATAAAATAAAATAGGCTGGGTGCAGTAGTTCACACCTGTAATTCCAGCACTTTGGGAAGCCAAGGTGAGAGGATCACTTGAGGCGAGGAATTTGAGACCAGTCTGGACAACACAGCAAGACCTCATATCTCAAAAAGAAAAAAAAAAAAGTAAAATAAAGTAATTAGAACAAAAAAAGAACTTTGAAAAAATGATAAATATGATATGTCCCCTTCTAAAGATTCCTAAAACATATTAGCACATATGGACTCTGAGGAGTCTTCTATAGGATTTCACATAGTTTAATCTAGAATTTTCTAAAAGTATTTGATATAATAGAGAACCCCCTTATACATACAGCAAAGATTAATACAGCAGAAACAGTGTTTTGTGGCCAGGCTATTTTAATATAGTTATTCACTTGTCCGCATATAAAGAGAACATCTTATTATTTATAAATTGGCAAGTGTAGGGTGTACTCCTATGATAGACTTTCATCTATATAATTTGGTCCATAAACTGGTCATAATATTTAATAAACTTTGGCAATAAGATGAGACAAAAATTACTATTCAGTTGAAATCTCATGGTACGATGAGATGATTTGGGGTCTTTAAGCCTTAATTGCTTATTATATGTTTTGTAAAATATTTCACTTGCATTACTGACAGTGAATAATGATTTTTACCACCAAAATGTGATCTCAGGAAAACTCTACAAATGTTTTATAATAACTTTCATTCTCTATTCCACACCCCAAAACCTCTCTACAGTAGCTAGTCAAGTGAATTTAAAGATCTTCCATATAAAAGGAATGAGGTTCCTTCTTCTGGTTTTGGAGTTTGTTTAATTCAGTAGAAGAGACAAGACAACTACAATAATAATTAAAGCCTAATGCTGAAAGCACTATAAGAGATTAAAAAAGGGGTGACCTTCCGTGGGCAACTGGGAATGTCAGGCAAGGCTTCATGAAGTAAATGTCATTTGAGTAGAGCCCTAGAGGATACATGGATCATCTATAAGCGGAGATTAGGAAAGGAAGAACTATTACAAGACTTCAAGCCACAATTTTGACTTGAAGAGTCTGAGAAATACCAGGAAATGAAAATGACAAGTTGCATTTAGATCACTCAGGGTTTTGAATACAAGGCAGGCCATTTGACATGTGAAAATTCAATAAACGATGAAGGGACAATGAACACTTTTGAGAAAAGTAGCTCCCCTCCAAGAACTATACCATGGGAGCAGTGTACAGCACGGAGAAGGGAACGGTCTAGAGAATGGTTCTCAAAGTGTGGTCCCCAGGGCAGCGGCAGCGTCTAGGACCATGCCAGAAATCCACATCCTTGAGCCTTACCCCAGACGCCCTGAATCAGAAACTCTGGAAGTGTGGCCCGGAAATCTGTGTTTTCACAAGTCCTTCAGGGAATTTGGATGCATGCTTCAGTTTGAGGATCACTGGTCTAAAGGCAAAAAGTCAATTGTACAATAATTTTAGTCATACAGATGACTGGCAATGAAGAATTAATTACTCCAGGTACCATACTCATAGTAAGAAGGTAAAGGATACCAATCCGCACAGCCACCTCCCTACCACCACAACCCCCAAAGGAATTCAGGGAATGACATCAGGAATGACATACTCTCAGGCCCCACAAACAAACTGCAGGGCAGAACACTCTGTGGTTTCCCAGGTCCTTGCTTTGACCTCTTATAATAGTAATCCTAGTAGTTGGCTTTAGATGGATATCAACACCTCTGAACAGATTGGGGGTAAAGCAGCTGCTTTTACTAAAAGATCATTACACTTCTTCAAATTCTGTCCCCTAATTTTCCAGACAGATGACCACCTTTCCACTTTTTTCCTCCAGTTTGCAAGAGATATTACGGAAGCACAAATGAACAATTTCTGAGGACAGGACAACCAGACACTGGCTGGGGATAGAGAGAATGGGGGATAGAGAGCACTTTAAATAACTCCAGGTTTTAAGCCTCAGAGGTAGGCAGTTTAAAGATGTCTTTAACAAAGAGACTAATTTTAAAAAGCAGAAAAAGTCAGGTGGAGAAAAGGCACAGATCCAAGTGTTTAGTTTTTTCTGTCTAGTGGAAAAAAAGATTTACAGACACTTCAAAAAATGCATACTATACAGTAAGGTAAAATAACAAGATAAAATTTTTAAAAGAAAGAAAACAATGAAGCCACAGAAAAATAAGGATAGAAAAGTAAGAGGAAGCCACAAATGAGCCAGAGAGGCCATGATTTTGGCTTGAAGAGTCTTTGTATTAATAATCACAACTCTGGAAAAGCCACAGGGTCCGTGAGAACAGAGCAAGTCAGTGACTCAGGAAAAGTTCATTTCTTCTCTGAACTGAAAACAGGAAGAGAATTCTACCTTGGACCATCAAAGAGGTGATTTATAATGTAGCAAATGATATTCTTGATACTGCTCTGTAAGATAAATAATTTGGTTTGAGGATATCACATGGAGCTGTATCCGCCTTTAGAACAATCTAGTGAATATTTCCTGCAAAAAGTTGAGAATGTGAATCTGAAGCTCAGAAAGTCAGGAATAAAACTATAAGTGAATTTGGAATTTTCCCACATGAGACAGATGTCCAGTGTGCAGATAAGAACACAGTAAGAAAAATAGAATTGAAAAGTTCCCATTGCTATGATGGTTTAATGCTTATGATACAGAAAACACTGCCTAAAGATGTAATATTGCCACCAAGATTATATATTAATTTGTTTCAAACATGAATTAGTACTTAATTGAAAATACGAGAATGTTACCCTCTTGGAAAACAAAAAGCTAAAGTCATCACATTTTAAATGTATAAAACACATGGATGATTAGCATTCAAAATGATTCAACATTGGATGTCAACATTGGTTTTTTGTTTTTTTTTCAGACTGGCAACTGCCCTTAGTAAAGTCAATTTATGAAATCTCACTCCTCACTAGTTTTTCAGAACCCATCTATTGTATTAGACGTGGAAAACATGTTTTAAAAACTGTCATCTCAAAAATTGTTAGAGAAGTTTCTATAACAGACATATTAGATCAACAAACTCTGTTGGATAGATGAGGTACTCTGCTGTCATGAACAGGTAGAACTTTCTGATAAGGCTGTTTCAAAAAAAGTAAATATATCCCAAAGATTAATGTATGAATGAGGATTGCTTTGGCTGTGATCATCAGAGACTGATTATAACTTTTAAAATTATATATATATAGCTGGACGCGGTGACTCCCACCTGTAATCCCAGCACTTTGGGAGGTCGAGGCAGGCGGATCACAAGGTCAGGAGTTAGAGATAAGCCTGGCCAGCATGGTGAAACCCCGTCTCTACTAAAAATATAAAAAATTAGCCTGGCATGGTGGTGTGCACCTGTAATCCAGTGACTTGGGAGGCTGAGGCAGGAGAATTGCTTGAACCTGGCAGGCGGAGGTTGCAGTGAGCCGAGATCATGCCATCGCACTCCAGCCTGGATGACAGAGCGAGACTCTGTCTCAAAAAACATGTATTAAAAAATAAAAATAAATAAAATTATATGCATATACGCATACATATATATATATACATATATATATATATATATTTAAAGTATTGGCTCACAGATCAAAGGAAATGGTAAAAAGTCAGGCCATCAGGCTGTTCAGGGGTACTGGTGTTACCAGGACGAATCAGTCACTGCTAACCATACTGTTCCACTAGGATCAGGATTCCTAGTCCTGGGGCAGAGAGCATTGCTTCCCATGCCCAACTCTTGGCTAGATAAGGACAGGGCCCCTTTGAGCAACAGCTCCTCTTGGGTTGCATATAGCCTTTTTTAAAAGGATGTCAAAGTCATGCTGTGACAAAAGACAACAGGCAGGAAAGAAACAGCAATGAATGTCCACAACACACAAGCATGCGTTTCTGATAGGAAAGCAAAAACAGCCATGGACATTGACATATAAAATGAATCCAGTCATTATCCCAGAAATGCAAGTATTTTCATGTTCATATGCCTTGACTATCTTAAGAACCCAGAAATTTATTCTAGGTTATTACTAATTGAGAAAAACTCTTCATCAGATAGGGAGGATTTTTTTCTATCAATAAGATCACTCTGTCTTGTTCTTATATTTCATAAAAATTAAAATTAAAAGGAATGAGAGGTATTTTAGACCTCATGCTTGAAATAAGCCAATATTTATCAAAATATTAATGCAACCTTAGACAATGTTTATAGAAAATTAAGTCCAAATGACAGGAAATACAGTCTCAGTGACTTCTCTCCTATTCAGACTTAATCCTAGCACTTTGGGAGGCTGAAGCGGGCAGATCGCTTGAGCTCAGGAGTTCAAAACCAGCCTGGGCAATATCTCTACAAAAAATGACAAAAATTAGCCAGGCATGGTGGAGTACGCCTGTGGTCCCAGCTACTCAGGAGGCTGAGGTCACAGAATCACCTTAGCCTGGGAGGTCAAGGCTGTAATAAGCCAAGATCACACCACCGCCCTCCAGCCTGAGTGACAGTAAGACCCTGTCTCAAAAGAAAAGAAAAGAAAAAGAAAAAGAAAGGATGCAGCAAATTAAGAGTATGCTCAGAGGACATGACAGGACAGCAAAGAAACTATTGGAATAACAATGAGGGGAAACAGGACATTTATTACATAGAAAAGGGGACTTGGGAAGTAAATGACAATGGTCTTGAGCGCACTGTGCTGTAGGGCAAAGAAAAACTGAATGTGTTCTCCAAAGATCCAGAATCTGGTTCCTACTCTATTCCTATTTACTGTGTGATCTCAAGCAGGCTTCTCACCTTGTCTGGGTCTTATATCTTCACATCTACAAAAGGAGGTCTTGTTTTGTGAGCAATGGCAGGGGGTTTTAATCAGACTTAGGTTCAAATCCCACCTACATGGCTTACCAGTTATGTGGTTTTGGTCTGAGCCTCTGTAAAATACAGATAAATAAAGATGAAACTTCCCCCAGAGCTTATTATGAGAATTAAATAAAATAATGTAAATAAGACGCCTGAATCAATTCTTGACACATAGTTGATACTCAGTAAGTTATAATTTACAATTACTAATTACCAATAAATGGTAAGTATAATTATTCACTAATATGACTCTATAAAAGATTTGAAATGCCATTACAAGAAGGCGATACACTTTTCTGTCATGTTGCAAGACCAGCAGGTAAAATACATAGGTACAGGTTTTTCACTAAAGAAAGAACTTTCAAATAACGAGAACTAACAGGAAAAAAAGCTGCCTTGTGAAGTAGCTTCACCAGGAATGTTCAAAAGCGTCATGAAGAATATTTGCTGGGGACACTACAGAACAGCTTCCTATATTTTGAATGAGAAATAGGTAAGTTTCCTCCCTAATCCAATGTCTATGACTCTCAGCTGAGTGCAGTACCAAGTGCATTCATAGTTTATAATATTAATGTACCACTGCCCTCTAGTGTATAACCTAAGAAGATAAAATCACTGATTAAAAAAAGGAAAAAAATGTTTGCACAAGTATCATGAAAAATTATTTTCATTGACAAAGAGTTATCTTACCAGTCACTGAGTAGAGCCTTCTTACTTTCAGGTAAGAAAACTGGGGAACAGAAAGTGATATGATTAGCCCGAAGTCACAGGGCTGCACAGCTACAGAGCTGAGATGGGAATCTCACTCTCTAACTCTCAGGTCGGGGTTCTTCCCCACACAGCACATTCCTGAGGCTACAGCATAAAGCCAGTTATCACTGGATGGTGTCACTTGTCTGAGCCAAAAGTCTTTGGTTCTAGCCATGTAACTGGACAAGTTTCTTTTAGCACGATGAGTCCAGCACATCCTCAATCACAAGTTCAAACCCTTACAACCATGTTGCTGAAAAGAAAAAAACAATGGTTAATGAGGCCATGTTGACAAGCGTAGTTCATTATCAGCAAGCTAATGACCACTCAGGCCGCAGCAGGGATGCCAGGCTACAATTAGGTCTGCAGTGATGCACAAACAGAAAGGGACTCTAGTTATAATTAAACCTGATTCTTTAGTCCAATTGCTCATTAGGAAAGAAAATAAAACAATCCACAGATCCCACACAAGAAGGCCTAAAACTAATGCTTTGGTCCAGCGGTGGCATGGTAGGCCATTGAGCTATTATTAGTCCATGTCTAAGTATCTACTGCCAAATGAGCACTTAAGCTTATATGCTTTTGAATATATATATATATATATATATATATATATATATATTATTGCATTTTAGGTTTGGGGTACATGTGAAGAACATGCAAGATTGTTGCATAGGTACACACATGGCAGTGTGGTCTGCTGCCTTCCTCCCCATCACCTATATCTGACATTTCTCCCCATGTTATCCCTACACAACTCCTCCCCCCGCTGTCCCTCCCCTAGTTCCCCCCCACAGACCCCAGTGTGTGATGCTCCCCTCCCTGTGTCCATGTGTTCTCATTGTTATTCAAAGTACTTTGTAATGAAGAAGGATTGGTTTTCATCTTAGTGATTTTGAAAGCCATGGCACAAAGGATGCTGGATAATTTTTCATTTTCTTCATTTTGCCTATCACTATTGTTTGACTGTTTTTCCTGTGGACCTGTATTACTTGTGCAGTTAAACATGTTTAAAAAGGACTAAAACCTTGCCAAAATCTCTTCAAGTAACGAAAACTATCTACGTATTAAAAGTAAGAATACACATAAGCACAAACCTTTCATAATCACGAGGAACTAGCTCCATAGAAAAACAACATGATGTTATTTAAAAAAAAAAAAGTCAGCACAAGATATGGGTTCTGAAACCAGAGACTGGAATTCATGCTACAGCTTCATTAGTGAGCCCTTGGGCAAGTATCTAAAATTTTAAAGGAGGGTTCTTGTGATTAAATGAAAGGGCTAGGTAAAGATCTTAGGAGATGCCAAAAAGAAAAAGTGAACCATAAATTACAGGCTTCTTCCTCTTCCCCATATTCCCCTGCATTGCCATTCTCTGTCCTCATAATTCCTAAAGTATGTCTAAATCTAGAAAGAGATGTCTTACTAGGAAAGACCAATTGAAAGCCTCGAATTGACAAGGAAAGAAGATCCAAGTAGGCCTCAGGAGGAAAGGTAGTAAGAAGAGGGGGAGAAGAGGAGGCAGTTCACAGGAAAGAAGAGAGAATGGGCTTCATTTGGAGAAGAATTCTCTGCAGCCTGGAGAAGAGGTGGGGAGGACATTGGAAGAGTGAAGCTAAGGAGTTAAGAAGAGGTTTGTTTTCTCCCTTTGTCCCCTGTTTAGTTCCCTCCTTACCATTTGTCTCATTCTGATTCTCAAATGATGAAGGCCTTTCTTATTCCTGTCCATGTATCCTTCATCTACAACTTCTTCCTTCTTCCTCAATCAGTCCCCTAGCCCTGTGCTTTTGAGTCAGCCTCGCCAGCACCCTCTGGAAGCATGTATCATCAATTTTCTTTTCATTACATAATGTTTCTCACACATACCTTCCATCTGTTCGTCTCTACTGGTCTCTTACCCATGTGTCTGAAAGCATTCTTAGGTTTTCTCTATACTTAAGATTCAATCCCACGAGCCCTTATATTGCCATATTCTCCCTGGGTAATAGAAAGGGAAAGCACTGTGAAGAATATGTAATTTTTTAAAAACCAGTTCCTGCTCTCAAGGAGCTTATAAATTAGTTGCAGAGAAAAGACTATCTCCTTAGAAACAATGGTGATCAATAAAAGGAGTATAAGTCCTAAATTGGCCTGTCAGACCCTGAGTCTCTATAGCTTGGGGGATACAGGCCGAGGAGTTCCCCAAGGTGCTGTGGTAAGGGATGACTTGGAGGAAGCACCAGGCCAGAATATTGCACAAAGCAATTAGTCAATAAACGTTTGTGATTTGAGATGAAATGTTAGCTAAACCGTGAAAATCATTATAAGATTGCCTCTTCTCTCACCTACTTGACAATTCTCCTTCTTCATTGGTTTTAAGATGCATATTGTTTTACATTTTAACAACTCTGGAACAAGGATATATTTTTCAATGAAGGAGACTCAGCATGTGTTATAGATTAATTGTCAGTGCTTTTTCTTTCTTAGTGGTATATAAAATAATAGATTACAACTGATGGCTTCTTGGATTCCATAAAACACATATTTTTGTGCGTATCCAGTATATTTCAGGTTGCTATTCTAGGCCCTAGGGATATGTGAATAAGAAATGTAAAGTTTTTCTCTCTTAAAGCTTGCATTGTGGTAGAAGACAGATAATAAACCAATTAACAAACACCTGATACACTGATGCTAGGTATGGTGACACAGACTGAATAGGAACTAGATTTAAGCCTAGATCCCAATCTACTGTTCAGAAAAATTAAAAATAATGAGAAGTGAAGTTTTTTAAAAATCAGATTTCACATAAGAAATAGTAATTTGGAAGGAATTTACACATATTTTGGGTATTTCATCTCCTCTCTTAGACACTGATCTCCTTGAAAACAAGGGCAATTTACGTAATTTTACTACAA